CGGGGCACCCCCTAGTAGTTGGGAGCCCAGAGATCATCCCACAGGACCTTGTCCCTCATCCCCCAACTAGGGTTCCTAGCAACAGGACACCTGCCCAGAGTGATGCCAACAGGAGCCTGACTGACAGAATGAGGTCAGGGGACATCGGGTATGAAGCTCTGTAAGTATTAACACAGCTGCAGAGTCAGTATTGGTTAGCAAATCACCACACACATACACACACATACACACACAGCACACCCCAGTCAGAGTGAGCTTCCTGGAAGAGGAGGCATTTTACATTCTGATTCTCATTAAATTTACAGGCTGACAGGAGGTGCAATGTAGTATTAACATTGTACATGTATCACTAAAAACCTGACAACCTTCATAATCAGCAATTTCTTCTCATACCAGCCACAGTTTTGGTCAATATTTTTCCGACATTTTATATTTACAGGTATATAACATTAATAGATCATATAGAAAAGTCCAGTCACTGCCCCAATGTCTATACAGGAGAATTTTTAGTGTCTTTCACTGGATTACTCTTTTTTCCCTCCATAACTCTGTACTCAATGTAAGCTCATCAAGAAGGAACATCATTAGCGTTCTCCACTTGTTCACTTCACCAGCGCCCACTCGCGTTTCTTACGGAATTCAGTGTCAAATCAATACAACTCACTTCTTCATTCCCCCAGTAACTGATAAAATCTCTACCACCCTGCTCTGTGTTCTGAATCTGCTGCAGGGATCGTATGTACACATGCAAGGAGCAAATAAAGGAGAGACAGAGATGGATGAATTCACAGAAGTCAAGACACACTAATTGCAGGATTAGCCTGGACTCAAATCTCAAACTGAATATCACAAGAAATGAGAGAACACTTTCGTGGTGCTGGAGAGGGACAGGTTTTCTTAAACAGGACTCCAAAGTAGGCAAAGTATGTGCCAACAAGAGATTGACTACAAAACTGAGAATCCCTGGTTAATGAAAGCCCTTTACACAAAGTTTAGGCAATTGATAGAATAGCTGAGGATATTTGTAACAACTAAAACTCAGAATGGATAAATATCTAAGAGACATAACTTCTTCCAAGTTACAAGTGATTAAAAATGATTACTATCATCTTAATTAATTTTTAATAATTTAATGTTTGTCATTGTATATTTGTATTTATATTTAATATTAATCAATTACTGTTAATAGTATAGAAAATAAATAACAATCTTTATTAGCTGGAAACGTTCCTAAGTGTTCTGCATATTGTACATTATTTAATCTTCATAACCCTATGAGGTAGTTGCTGACTTTTCCTGTCTGCAGATGAGGAGCTGAGAAAGAGCGGTAGGAGCACTGACTCCAGGGCTCACAAGCAGGACATGGGGGGCCTGGCAACAGCGCAGGAGCCTGGCTCTGCTGTGCACTGTAGCCTCTGTGAGCCAGCCTCCCCTTTGCTGCACCTAAAGCACACGGAGAAGCTCTTCTCTGAGGGAGACAGACACTTCATGGACACCAGGTATAAACAGAGACCCTCAGCTTCCTCATCATCAGACAGGAGCCCAGAACCTCCTCAAACAATGTGATGCTGTGTGGGAGCCATCAGGTTGGTAAGAACTTTGCTGTCAGATAACACAGGATGGGCAGTGTTTATGGAGAACGTGGATGTGTATTTCCCGGGACCAGCAACCCTGGGATGAGATTCCCGGGGAAATGCTTACTCCCAGCGTGCAGAGCTCCTGAGCTGTCAGTGACAGCCTTGCTGGTGAAGCCAGCCTAGGCAGCAGTACGTGTGTCTGTCACGGTCAGTGGATGAATTAATGCAGTGGCTGTAGCCAGGGGCACCAGGAGCAGCACCAAGGAGCAGCGAACTGGAGGACAGACAGATGGACAGACACGGATTGACAGGAATGCTATGCCATTTATATAAACATAAATATGCATTATTCACAAGCAAATCTCTGTAGTTTTCACAGGTACATAAGACACCAAACATATCAGTCAATTCTCTCATTTGAGGCTGGGAATTTGGGGCCGTGCAAGGAGGAGCTATTTACCTAAAACTACCAAACACACTGCATAGACAGTTGGAATAACAGATTTTCTGCCTAGTATTTTTGGGCCCTTGGACTCAGTAAGCTGAGTCTTTGCTGGGATAGACTTCCCTCACCTGGGCTCCAACACAGAGGACTATAAGGTGTGTGTCATACCTGCAATAGCCAGCAGGGGGAGGTAGAAGTCAGAGTAAGGAACAAGCAAAATACCAGTTTTTAAGCAGAAGCTCATTATTGAAAACAAATGGAAAATCTAATAAGATCACAATTTGCATTCAAAGCAACAACTCAGAGAGGAGAGAAATTAATCCTGAATCAAAAACATCCAAGCAGGTTACATAGGACACAGACTTCGAGAGTCTGATTGACTTGAAGTTCTTGGTGTGCTCTTTCTTAGCTGGACAATCTCAAGTTACTCCACCTTCCTAAGCCCTCATCTCATTTGCAAAATGGAATGAATAATCCCTGCTTTATTATACTTGCAGGGAAGGAATCGATATGTACAATGTTTTACATTCAATAAGGTGTATTTGACATTATTAATGGATCAATGATTACTCTTACGACCTTAAAAAAAATTAGTCTCTCTAAAAGACAAGCAACTATTAATTCACCAGTGCTAGAAGAATCTCTACTACGTTCTGAGGTCCAGCACCATTACCTGAATGACTGCTCTTCAAGAATAGCTTATGCCCCTTGCTTGCTGGCATGTGAGAGATATTCTCGAGTTCTGCAACCTTTCTGAAATTTTCCTCATGACCCCTTACTCTTTAGAGCTTAAAAATCACTCTCTCTTTATATCTGTTGAATTATATATATGGAATGGATGATGTGCCGAGTTTTGGACTTTGTTAGACTTGCATTTTAATCAAGGCTCCATTACTTACGTGACTGTGCACAGATGAAATATTTTAAGATTCCAACCAGCTTCTGTTAAATATGGTTGTTATAACTGTGTTGACATGTTATTTGAGGAAAAAATTGTTATAAGAATCACATCATACTTCAGACTGACTGATAGTATTTATTTACAAAGCAACCAACTTGGTCCAATCCCTGGCCCATGGTGGATGGTGTCCCAGGGTGAGCATTATTATTCCCATTCACAGGGCCTTTCCCAAAGACACACATACTCCAAGTGGCAGGGCTTGGACTGGAGTGGTCATTCTGTCCTTGTCAATGTAATAAATCCTCCCAGAGTTAGGTATCATTCAGACTCTTCCAAGTGTCCCATTTGGCAGCTACGTACTGAGAAGGACCTCTCGCCTCAGTGTACCATTGATCAGATGACATCGTTGGCTGTGCAGAGAGCTGGGCTCCCAGGTTCGGCCCCCTGACTGGATCATTCCTGAGGCCAGCAGGTCTGAGAGGCTGGCAGGAACGTGGAGTCGGTCTGAACCCAGCGTTCCCTGCAGACCGTGAGCACCTGGCAGCCTCAGAGCCTGTGGCAAAAGCAGGCAGATGGGAAGCTTTGGCTGAGGGTTCTGAAGTAGATTTCTCTTATTACCACTTTAAGAACACTCTTTCTGCTTTAGTGTGATGACAATTTTATGTTTTCTTATTTTTGAAACCACGAGTATTCTGACCCAGGAAGGATTTTCCGGGACTGCAAGGCATTGAGCTTGCCTGGGAGCGTCTGCTCTCAGAGCAGCTCCTGGGACAGCCTCCTGTCCCCGGTACATGGGGTCGGTCCTTGAGCAAAGGACGGTCACCCTGAGTCCCTGTGCTTCCTCAACTCCCAGCTTCTGTGATGACACTTGTTATCTGTACTTTCTGATAATAGGCATTCAAAGAAGTGTGAAGTGATATCTCATTGTGTATTTGATTTGCATTTCCCTGGATTTCAGATAAACAACAAATAATTTTGTAGTTTATGTCCAAATATTGCATAGCATTTTGCACTATTTTTCCATTAAATCTGGCAACCCTATGTGAGGCTACCTTTTTGCCTCAGGAACAAAAGAAATTCTCTTTTAAATTAATTTGCTATGCTTGCATTCTCGTGCTCACGTGTGCACACACACACACACACCCACCTGATTTTCCATAACTGTAATATTCCCTGTAATACTACACTATGAGGACCTCAGAAATCATCTACTGCAACTAGTCCAGTTTTAAGATGAAACACCAATCCCCAACATTTCCTGAGCTTTTTCTTTGCATCTGGGACAGGACACAGGCTTTGCTCACATTGCCTGCTTACTCTGCATGCAACCTAATGAGGTCCCTTTGACATATGAGGAAAAGGAGAACTAGCTTGTCCAAGACTACACAGCTATCATGTCACGTTAGGGCATTCACATCTTCTGATGAGACCTCTGGGAGAAATGCTCCAGTGCTAGCTCAGGGGGCCTGCTGCCTTTTCAGCAGGGATCTCTGCTCTGTGCTTGTCCCTGCCTCCCGAGCAGCCTGCACACCCATTGCTCTGTCGGTACCAAGTGGCCATTTGAGGCTTGAGATTTGTCTCCAGGCAGATCTGGCTAACATCCCCATCACCTAATCCTCTTTAGCCATGTTGCCTTGGAATGGTTACTTAAAATACCAGCCAGGCTTTCCCCATTTCTAAATTGAGGGTATTACCATTCATCCCATGGAGTGATTTTCAGATGTGATAAAAAAAAAAAAAAAAATGAGCAGAAACCAATTAGTGTGGTGCTCAGGTGTGGTCGAAGTCCAATCAAGGATTGCTGTTATCACTGGTATTCTCCTTGCACCAACATTCCTCATTGTTTCTCAGCTCCCTAACCATGGTTGTTCTCTCCCCGCCTTGTGGTCAGACCTGTCCCTGCCCTCTGGCCCCTCCCTCCCTTCCTCCTGCCTCTCTGTCATCATTACCTGCAGGTGCCTCAGGGAAGCAGAAGTTCAGATCCTAACCTGCCCTCTGCCACCACCCAGGCAGTCTCCTCCCAGCACGTGCATCTAGGAGGTCACCCTCGGTTTCTTTCCAGGTAGGAAGAAGAACCATGCTGGGTCTCCTTGCCATCCTGTGCACTCTCCTGTTTCCTGGTAAGTCCAGACACGCTCCCCCCATGCAGGGTACCCTGAGGCTCCTGGCCATCCCTGTCTCACCACTGTCCCCTCCTCCCCCTGGCAGGTGGTGGAGCAGGGCTCAAGCTGGATCAGCCTGCTTTGGTGGTGGCGCGCTTGCGCTTGGACAGCTCAGCCACCCTGCCATGCAAAGTAGACACCTCGGTCAGCTACGTCCACTGGTACCGCCACCAGGAGGGTACGGCCCCCAAGAGGCTCCTCTACCTAGACATGTCCAGGTCCTTTGTGAAGAGGGATTTTCCCATGAAAGCGGACAAAGTCAATGCCCAGAAGGGCAGGGAGAGCAACAGCTGTACTCTGTCGGTGCTGAAGCTGGAGAAGAGCGACGAGGGCGTGTACTACTGTGCTGCCTGGGAGTGCACAGCCCTGTGCTCTCACCAGGTCCCTGAGCAAAAAGGTCTCTGTCTCCCAGGGCGCTCCATGCCCCGCACCTCCTACTGGCTCTGGGTCCCTGGGGTTGTCCTGGGGTCAGCCCTCAGCACCCCGGACTCTCGCTTTCCGCGGGTCCACTGCACAGAACCCTGCAGGCTAAGGAGCCCCTGGCGCGCAGTCTGACGCAGACCCAGGGAGCTGTCCAGTCGGGAGGGACTTTTCTAAAGATCGTCCAGCACTGCGTTTCTGAAGCCCTTGGAGCAGAATCTGTGCTTCTCAATGCAGTAGCCACTGGCCCCACATGGGGCTCCTGAGAACGTGAAATGTAGCTAGTGCACTAGTCCACACTGAGATGGGCTGTTTGTGTAACATACAAATCACATTCTGGAGACTATAAAAACAGATGAACTATCTTAGTAATTTCTATATTGATTACTGTTGAAACACTATTTTGGATATCTCGCAGTAAATAAAAATAACCCTAGAATTTTATTTGTTTCTTTAACGTTTTTTTTTTAAATGCAACAGTTAGAAAATATGTCTCAAATTGTGACATACATTTATTTCTACTGAACACAGCTGTGACAGACTGGTGATTGAAGATTCTGGCTATCGCCAATGAAGAATGTGAGAATAAAGTATTGTGAAAATCATTCCAGAGAGAGATGTACCATAATATGATTGAAAACTGAGATTGGAAGTCACCTTCTGATTCCATTTTCTAAGTTGCTGCCCTGCCCACTGCTAGTTACTTTACAGTGGAGAATCAGGGATCAAAAGCACAACTCACAACTCAGCATCCTCATGCACTGGCAAGCTTGGTGCTCAACTCCTATGGGGGGACATGATCCTCAGGCAGGTTGATGCATCAACCTCGGATGAGCCCGGGGCCTACAGCCTTCCACTTCTCCTTGAATGCTACTCCATATGGGATTTGGGGGCCAGATTCCCTGGACCTCTGTTACCGCCTCTGTAAAATGAGTGTTTTACCTGCCACAATTGTGTGACTGATTTCTGTTAAAGCAAAATTGTACAAATAAGATACCAATATGTTTACTAACTTCTTATAAAGTTTGTCAACTTCTTGAGAAAAAAAAAAAGAAAAGCTATATTACTGATTCTCCAGTCCCAAACAGGAAAACACCTGCTGCCATATGTGGGGAAGAAGAAAAAGCTCTCTTAGGAGGTCTGAGCTGAATTAATTGTATTTTCAATCAAAGATTCAAATTTTATGTACACTTAATAGGATTGGTAAACATGATTATTGAAAGGAAAGTCCAAAACACCTATTACAATTTCGTTACAGAGAAATTAGCTAAATATGAAGACACTGTCATGAGAAGTCCTCCCAAGTCAATTTAAATCTCAGTTTGCAACATGGGTCTATAGTGCCTTTGAGTTACAACCTGAGAGGACAATGGTCTTGTGCATGGAGAAAACAACCCCTATGTGGAGAGAACAACAAATCATATTTGGAGTCATTTCCTCCTCCTGCCCTTCTCCTTGAGGATACAGTGAGCTTCACCAAGGACACTTCAACCACACACAGTAAAGCCAAACCAGCCAGAGACCAATAAGCCCTCCCACCCTAAGTAAATGTTTGCTAATTAAATGGTTGTTTAAATGGCTGATTCTAACAACACTGAAAGCATCTTGTTAGAATGTACAGGACCAAGTACAGTGGTGATTCCATTAATGTCTATTGAAGTGAGATTGATATTTTGACTATTAGACAGGGGCTCACATTACCTCACAGGTGGGGGATTTCGCATAGATGGATGCTTGAAATATCCTGATGATTTGGGCTCAACTCATTTATTTCATTCCTGAGTTGGGTGAGACACAATGATTTTGAGTAATAGAAACAACATTATATTATGAAATTGATGCTGAAAAAAGTCTAAGAACATCTCAAAAAATCAGTTTTCATAGTTATATTATCCATTCTCAGTTGATCACACACACTAGTAGTGGGCAAAGTGTCATGTCTGTTACATGAGAGTCATCTTCTAAAAATCACAATTCTAAAAATTTCTGGGAACACCTGGAAATCTATGCTGATTGTTTTGTGTTGGGTGTTCTTTATGTTCCACCCCCAGAACGGGTTCAGGGACACCATCTTGGGTAGAGGAAAGGGCACAATTTGGAGAGGTCATTCTAAACATTGGGATCAGTAGAGTTTTTACTATGTTACTTCCATACCCTAATTGACTCATGGAAAACCTGTATGGCTTTTGATTTTTATTTTAAAATTTATTGTTAAAAAGAATTCACATGTTACTTAATATTAAAATTCTTGTATATTATTGAACACTTAGACACACCATGTGAAGTCTGATGGTTAGAAATGTGAGTAATAGCCTCTGTCTTGACCACTATTTCTCCCCTCTTCTCCAACAACCTTTGCTTCTTTTACAAAACAAAATCTTGTTTTCTCTGCTGATTCCTACTGACTCCATCTGCCAAGTTAGAGACCAGGTTCATACTTGGAGAGCTCAAAGTAACCTCTTCAGCTGAGTGGGTCTTTTCCCCAGTGAAGGACAGATACCCGGTACTATAGACAGTGGTAACAATGCTGAGTCTTCTAGTAACACTGTACTTAATTTCCTTAGTTTCTTTACATCTCTTTTGTCCACATGCAGATGAGCGAATGAGATCATCCCAAGCAGAACTGCACACAACCATAGTTTTTTCAACACAGTTGTTTGGCACTTTTATTGCCTGAAAACATGATCTGCTACCATTCATGGAAATTTGCTAGAAAGTCAGCCTCACATGTTCATCTGGAGACTGAGAGGAAGATAGGCTTTCAAGTAGGACCCTGTGTGTCCCCTGCTGTGGGGGGACAGATTTCTCCCCTAGGCAAAGAACAAGAATGGATGCTGGGGGGCACAAAGGATGGATACTGTGAAATCTCCTATTTCCTCCTCAGCATCAGTGCTCCACTTTTCTCCCCATTGCTCTGTGCCCCAGGAACCTAACCCCTGTGGATTACAGTAATGGGAATCTTTGCTCTGATTTCCAATGGAAAGTTGGCCAATGGAATTTGAAGTTCAAAGAACCATCACCATGTCACCTGACAAAAGTATTTCTTCTTGGGCACTAGGTTTCCAAGCCTGTGGATCCAGGGCCCTGGGAAAAAAGAAACACATTCCTCCAGTGGGTTGAGTGGTATAAAAGAGAATTACTTCTCCCACATGCACCTCTTATTCCTGAGCATGAACCTCTGGGTACGGCAGGAGTTGTCACTATATGTTTGCCCCTGTGAGGATGCAAGCCTCCTTCAGAGAGGGAGCCCTAAGCTCACTCTCTCCCACTTCTCAGTCTCTTGCTGCTGCTTCCATTAGCTGCTCCCAAACGGCAACCAGAGAATAAGGAAAACCATGAGGGTCCACCTCGTAATGCCCAGGGCAAGGTAAAGAGAAGTAGACTGTCCATCTGCAGGAACAAAAGAATAAAAATCAACTAGACAGTCAAGTAAATAGGTTGTATTTGACCCCAAATAAGTAAAACAAGTTGCAGAGTTGGGAGATTTTATCTGGTTCCTTTCATTTCTCATTACACAAAGCCATCAAAGTCCCATCTCTAACAGACCAGGATGTGCCCTGTTCCCTCAGTAAGAAAACAGGAAACTGGAAAAGTGTTGAGAGATTATCATTACATGTTGTGCTTTTCTAGTTGGTGAATTTAGTAGAGAGGAGCATGTAGATTATTTCTAATGCTTTTGTTCTTCAGTTAAATCAGGGATTCTGAAGTATTTGCCGATTTATTAGAGGTAAGTCATCATCACCTAAGCAGAATAAAATAAATAAAGAGATCTCTATCTCTGTGTAGAAGAATGATTATAGGGCTTTATGAACCAATATTATGATGAATTCAATTCTGTGTTCTTGATGTTCTTTAATACAGTAAACAAGTGTGCAGTAGTGAACCAATCTTAACTCTTACGAAAAGAAAGTAGAGAAATGCCTGCCATTTTCATAATGTCAACTAAAATCCAGCCTCTCACGTTTGTTATAATTGTTCTATCATTTCTGTCCTTCCTTCATCTACTTTCCTGCCATTTATGAGTCAACATTTAAATGTTTCACTCACAAACTGATCATTCCTATCTATTGTGAGTTCTGTCACCTTTATTTTTTTAACTTCTAAATTGAAGTTACCGAATAGTTACCAAAAATCTGTAGTTATATTCTGAAAGTGGTAGAATTAGTATTTGTAATCCACATGTCAACAGATTACTTTGATTGCTTTCCTTTGCTCAAAGAAAAAGAATTAAGTTCTTTTGAAATTTAATAAACATAATGTTCTGATAAGATTTTAATAATAGCTATTTTTTTTACTGAAACCTCCTTCTGTACTAGGTAGGCAGTGTATTAAGCACTTTATATACTTCTTGTTATGTAATGCCTTAGTATCAGAGGAAAGGGAGTCTGACGGCTACCATTGTACCCCCACAGATGTCACTAACCCTGCTCTAAATGTCTGGTTTGACATAATTTCCTATTGATTTGCTTTCCTATTTAGAGACTCTGTTGAAATGGTCTGGTTATCTCAGAGAGAAGTAAGGTGCTCAGAGATTTTCAATAACTGTGAAAAGCTCAATCTAAAGGTGCTGGCAATGAATAAATTGGAATTCATATTCATTTAGCTGCCAGATAATATGCTACATGTTGAGTCTGTTGAGGAAATCATGTGATCATTCAAAAATCCTGCAGATATACCTATTTCATGGAAGAAAGAATCGATGCTTAGACAAGAACAGAAGGTGCAAGGGGAAACTTTACATCCCATGGCATGGTGTGAGTCACAAGATAGTTCTGACGAAGAGGCCGAATCCTAAAGACCAGCAGGACAAAGGGCTGGAAGAAGGTGGGAGGAAGACTGTAAGAACTAACTCCCCTCCTCCCATGTGTAGTGATGTCATCATGAGAATGAGCAGGAGACAGACAGAGAAACAAAGGATGAGGAATGTGCCAAAGGACATTGTCCTAAC